GGGTAGTGGAGCAGCCAGGACTCGAACCAGCGCCCATTTTAGGATACTGGTACAAGATGAGGATTTAACCACAGAGCCATAGCTGTTGCTCCAGGTCCCTACTTCTTGTTTTGATGAGAACATTTCCGTGAGGAAAGCAGAATGTCTACACCCATCCCTGACGATCCGAAGGTGTGATTTTACCTTGTTTGGATTCACTCATGTTTTAACTAGCTCACATGAAAATGTTGATTGTAATGATCACTGATGATATGATATGAGATTATTTTGTTTCTATACTTTTTTTGTTATCTCTAAATGCTTTGCGATCAACAGCTTTTATTTTACATAACCAAAGTGTAAGTTTAAATTATAGGCTATGAAAAACAATTTTCCATATTAGCCACAGTCAGAATAGTGGCTTGGTATGGTGGTCGTCATCCCAGGGAGGGAATAGGCCATGACCCACTTAACCATCCCCTATCCTTGGGCATTCAGGTTTTCCCCGGCTTTTTCAAAATTATGCAGGAAACCACGTGCGTGAAGGGAAAGCAGGTTACTCCACACCTGCAGTCCAGCCCGCCAGACGGCTTTCCGCTCCCCTTCATTGCCTGGGAAAGCCTGCCTAGCTTCCCTCCGCTCCAGGAGATGGCTCTGTCCCTTGAACAGCCACTTCGCCCTGTCGGGAGGGTGAGAGAAAACAGGAAATGGTTTTGTTGGCAATGCTGGCCCAGTGACCCCGGATCTGGACCACAGGAGAGATTTTTAACAAGTCCGGTTCCCAGAACAGAACCTGCCGAGAGCAAGAAAAGAAAGCAGGCAAGGAAGAAAAAAAAAAAAAAAACCTCCCTGCTGGAAAAAAACACATACCAAGATTAAAATAATATTTGGCACTTACGTCGCACTTTTAAAATTCTTCAAACGCTTTATAAACACTAGCTAATTAATTAAGCTGCCTAAATCTGGCTGCAGTTGGTGGAGAGACTGAGGAGCTGTAAGGAGCTGGGGGGGAGGGAGGTGGAGTTTGGGGGGGTGGAGGACAGCATCTACTGGATTGCAGATTTTATTGTCACCCGCCCGGAGTGTGACTGCAGGCCCCAGCTTGCTCCGTCGCTCCGCTCGCTGCTCCCTCGCTGACTGCTGACTCATGGCCCGGTGTTATTGATAAGGATAATAATAACCATGTTCTGCTCCAGGCCTATGCCAACTCCCAGATGTGCCAGGGTTAGCTCCATGTAACAGATGAGGAAAGTGGATCAGAGAGGATGTTCACCCAGGGTCAAAGGGCAAATAAAACCCCTGTTTCCTTCACTGAGCAGTGTGTCCACATGGTACCTAGTTCTTGAGGACCCAGTGTGTGCCACGATGCTGCTCTAAGCAGGAATAGCAGGGGGTGACCCAGTCCTGCTACAAGAGGAATGCAGGTGTGTCACAGTAATGGGATTAGGGGCAACTTTTTAAAACTGCATTTATTCATTAGAGCAACACAGAGAGACACACACAGAGCTTCCATCTGCTGGTTCTCTCCTCCAAATGGCCACTATAACCAGGTCTAGGCCAGACCAAAGCCAACAGCCTGGAACTCCATCCAAATCTTCCCTGGATGGCATGGGAACTTGGGTCATCTTCTGCTACCTTTCTATGGAGCTGGATTGGAGGTGGAGCAGCCAGGCCACAGAACCTGGGATGGTGAGGTCGCAGACAGCGGCTTAACCCCCTGTGCCACATTTAAGCAGCACCTGTGTAGCAAGTGTGCCTGCATGGCTCTGTCACAGTACTCAGGTCTGCCGGGGTGGATGCCAGCATCCCACTTTGGTTGACAGAAGGGAGACCCAGAGGATGGGCGAGCTCTGCTACCTGAGGAGAGCCTGTACTGCCCAGGACTGTTGGCCCCAGCAAGTGGCGTTTCAGGTTCATCCAAACTGCCGTGTTCAAGTGCAGGGCCTCTACTGTCCCTGGGTGGCTGCCTGTCCCTTGAGCATGCTCTTCCCACCATCCCCCCTGACCCTGGCCACCAGCCCCACCCCTCCGGGGCTGGCTGATATTGGCTAAGCTGCTACCCTTTGTGGGCAGGGGTTGCTTTCTAGTACCTGCTAAGGCCTTGGCAATATAGGGTTTGTTCTTGGAGACTCCATTCAGCTGCCAGGAGAACCAGGCCTTAAGGGTGAGCCCTAGCTGGGGCGGAGTGGAGTGGCAGAGGAGAGAGGCAGGACCTGTCTGGAGGCCCTGAGCGTGCCCACACTGAGGGCAGTGTGGGTGATGGGCCTCCCTCCCCTTGGGTCCTCACCTTGGCCTGAGGGATGGTACCAGTCCACCAGATGATAGGCACATGCTTGGGCAGCTCTCTCCTGCCCGACTAGAGTCAGAGGGGACATCTGTACACACCTGTCTGATGACTATACCCACAGTGGTCCAGGACAGGCAAGACAAGGGCACGTGGTGGAGTCAGTGGAGAGACGGGGTGAAGACCCAGGTCACCTGTTCCCTTGTATACCAGTCTACCACTCTGTCTCCCCTTCCTTCTCCCTCACTTGTCTCCCTCTCTTTGTTTCTGTGTCTCTTTGTGCCTCTATATCTGTGGGTTCCACGTTACACATTCAACAAAACAACTCAAAGGGGGCCCGGCGCAGTGGCCTAGCTTGCCTTGAATGCACCAGGATCCCATATGGGCGCCGGTTCTAATCCCGGCAGCTCCACTTCCCATCCAGCTCCCTGCTTGTGGCCTGGGAAAGCAGTCTAGGATGGCCCAAAGCCTTGGGACCCTGCACCCGCATGGGAGACCTGGAGGAAGTTCCTGGTTCCCAGCTTCGGATCAGCACAGCACCAACATTGCAGTCACTTGGGGAGTGAATCATCCAACGGAAGATCTTCCTCTCTCCTCCTCTCTGTATATCTGACTTTGCAATAAAAATAAAAATGAATCTTAAAAAAAAAAAAAAACTCGAAGGTGTCGTTGGGCCAGTGATGGTCATGCCTGGATGGCATTTTTCCTTGTTATTCCTCCCTAAACACCATGTCACAGCTGTTTACATGGCATTGACGCCATGTTAAGTATCACAGGCATGTGCTGTGTCACGATGGGAGGGACATGTGGCCCAGGGCTGTGCTGGATGGCTTTGTGGACGTGCATCTGTGATGTCCTCATGGTGATGTCCCCACAGTGAGGACAAGTCTAACCCTGTACTTCCCCAACCTTGCATCCCTGTTGTTGGGCAACATGGAGCTGTGGCCCAGGGATGATTCCAGGTTTCAGGCAGGAGATGTGGCTTGGTACCAACGTCACACTGCTTCCTATGTGGGATCTGCCCGACCTTGTATTCTGTGTCTGCAAGGGGCCTGGAGCCGTCCCCCATGTATCCAGAGGGACAGCTGTGTTTTTCACCTGCCTTTTTACCCTTGGGTCTTTCTCCCCTCACCCCTTCTTGTTTGCAATCAGGAGCCTGGCTGAGCCTCAAAGGCTGTTGCCTCACAGCCATTGTCCATACCCCCCAAACCCCAAGCATCTCCTGCTACCTCGTCCTTCCTGGCTTCTCCCTGCATCTTCCCCTGCACTCCCACTCTGTCTACCCTGGGGCCCTGTCTCACCCACCTCCAGAGTCTTCCATCAAGGGGCTCCCTTCCTGTAGCTCACCTCTAGGACCTCCTTCCAACTACACAGCTCAGAAACCCTGGGGGTCTGGACTGGGTGCAGCTCCTGTGTGTTCCTAGTGTCTGGGACAGGCCTGACTTAAGAGGCCTCAGTGATGGTTGCTGGCGATGTGGTATGAGCCACAGCCTGCATCCATGCATTGCTTGTACGATTGTGACAGTCTCCCCTGTCATGGTTCATGGCCAAGGGCTTTCTTTCTTCTTTTTTTCCTTTCTTTCGCTTTATTTCTTCTTCCTTTCTGTCTCTCTTTTTTCATTTATTTGAAAGCCAGCGTTATACAGGGAGAGAAATATTCCATTCATTGTTCACACTCCAAATGGTCACAACAGAGCAGAGCCAGGCCAAAACCAGGAACTAGTAGCTTGCTCCTGGTCTTCCAGATGAGTGGCAGAAGTCCAAGGACTTGGGCCATCTTCCACTGCTTTCCCAGGCACATCAGCAGGAAGCTGGGTCAGAAGCAGAGCAGCCAGGACTTGAACCGGTGCCCACATGGGGGCTTGTATCACAGGCATTGGTTTTACCTGCAGCACCACAGCACCAGTCCTTCTAGGTGGGATCTCGTTTTGCTTTCAGAACAAGGCAGAAGGCTAGGGGGTGTCCCACCTATTTATAGATATAGAAACCGAAGCTCAAAACCAGTGTAGAAACTAGGTCCCATGGGAGTAAGAGGTAAGCCAGGGTTTCAAACTAGATCTTATGGCTTCTAAGACTGGACTCTTGTTTGTGACACTTCCTCCCCCAACCCCCAGCACGTTTGCTGTTCCTGGAGCTTGGTAGTGTTGGGCTCACAGGAGCTGTGTTACTGTGTCACAGATGGGGAACCAGGGCTGTGAGGCCTACAGAGGTCATGCTTCCCTTTGCACAACAGCTGCTGTGGTTGGGGACACTGGTGCAGGTCCTGGGGGCATCTCAGTCACCTGAGAGGTGGCCTCAGGTCTCACAGCTGTCAGCCTCCAAACCCTGACTCAGGCCCACTTTTTCCTCCATGTCAATACACAAAGGCTGCACTCAACCTCCCTGATCAGGGCCTGCTTTCTAAGCCAGGCCAGGAACAGATGCCAATGCCTCGGGAAACCCCTGATTCATCAAGCCGCTGCCCACTTCCATGCCTTTGCCCAGGCTGCTCCCTCTTTTGGGAATAGGGCTACTTCATGCTGGTAAATGCGGATTTGAATCCCACCACCCAGCTCAGATGTGGCTGTAGTCCCAAGGGCTCAGCACTCAGGGTGCCTCAGTTTCCTCATTTCATCACATCTCAGTCCACAGGCCTATGAGAAGGTTAACTGAGATGTTAGGTGCAGTGTGCTGAGTGTGAGCTGTGTTGGTGAGTCTTACTGATGCACATGTACAAGGTCTCTGTCTCCTCCCCCAGCAGGGGCAGCAGAGGAGGAGCTGCAGGTGACTCAGCCTGACAAGTCCGTGTCAGTGGCAGCTGGAGACTCGGTGATCCTGCGCTGCAGAGTAAACACCCTGCTGCCCGTGGGGCCCATGAAGTGGTTCAGGGGGGCTGGGCCAGGCCGGAAGATGATCTATGACTTCAAGGGAGGCCAGTACCCCCGAGTCACAAACCTCTCAGACACCACAAAGCGAAACAACATGGACTTTTCCATCCGCATCAGTGACATCACCACAGCAGACACAGGCACCTACTACTGTGTGAAGTTCCGGAGAGAGGGTACAGGAGACGTGGAGTTTAAGTCTGGACCGGGCACACAGGTGTCTGTGCAAGGTGAGTACTGGGAAATAACGAGAAACTGCCCCCACCCTCTACCAGTCTGCAAGGCTTCTCTCCCGCAGTAAGGACGGACAATTGGAGAGACTTGTGGGTCACAGGCCTGCCTGGGGCTTCAGGGAGAGCATTCCTTTGGTGGGACTTGCCTCTCTTCATGCAGCAGGCATTGGGTGCACCTACTATGTGCTGGGCTCCCCTGGGAAACACACTGGGTGTTGTCATAGTCCAGTCTCCCCGGAAGCCTTGGGCAAAGCCAGGCAGGTGCTACACATGGGACACTGTGTGTCAGGACTCAGGTGTGTGGAGACTGTCCAGCACTGAGTCCTCAGGGCCATACCCTGGGCCTGATGATGCCCTGGAAAGAAAGGGTAGAGCCAGGTGCAGAACTTCTTCAATGGCATCATGTCCTGAACTGGGATAGTTGGGAAGGCTGGTGTCGGGACCAGATGAGGCAGACATGGTTCAGGGAGGAACGTGGGAACACAACCAGCAAGGGGAATGACCCACAGGGTGCATGAATGATAAAGGCAGGGCCTGGGTTTTCTCAGCCTCAGACTCCTCATCTGTGAAATGCTGATCACCAGGGGCTCCTTTTGGAGAGTGGGAAGAATTTGGGGTCCTCTCAGGAAGTCCCCAGCATAGGGCAGGCACTCCTGAATCCAGGGTTGTTGCCAAGGTGTGTGATCCTGGGCAGGTCCTGGCTTCCCTTGGGTTTTCACTTCCCCACCTGTGGCATGGGGATGAGCAAGGTCACTGTCCTGGCTGTGGTGAGGACCGCAGAGGGTGAGTCTGGAGTCCTGGTGCACTGGGGTCAGGGCTGGCCATGAGCATTGTCAGTAGGCAGTGGTCGGGGGGCCACAACTGTACCCCATGTACCCATCACCTTTCCAGGCAGGGAGACAAAGAGCTCTGCAGGTGTTCCTCAAGGCTCCTGAGCACAGCCTTACACCACTCCCCTTCCCAGCTCAACCTCTTCTGCTCTTTAGAATCCCAGACCAGGCAAAACTGAAGGACTGGGCAGCTGAAATTTTAATTACACCAGAAAGTGCCAAAACAGAGCCAGGGTCCGGAAGCCTGAGGCCACAGAGGAGAAGCAGGGTTCCCACCCCTACAATGGTGGTACCCTGGGGCTGGGCCTGAGAACACTTTGAGGGTATGGATGCTTCAGAATAGCAGGAGCCTGTTGTCTATGGCCATACCATGCTGAACGCACCTGATCTCATCAGAATAGCAGGAGCCTGGGCAGCCCTGGTGATGCCTCGAGGTCTGGCAGGAACCCTTGCCATACACAGCCTGGCCATGCCTGCTCAGATCCAGCCTCAGTGTCTTAAACCTGCTTGTGTCTGAGCAGCAGGAGCCCAACATGTGCCTTCCTGCCTGCAGCCACAGACCTGTCCCCTGCATAGCCCACAGGGCCCTGCAGGATCCATGCTCCTGCCTGGTACTAGCACACCTGAGGCACCTGTGAGCTTGCTGGGGCTTTGCGAGCCGATTTGCCAGACTTTGTTTCTAAGAATCTTTAAGAATGCGAGTCCTCCCTAAGTGGTTTCTGCTCCTGTCCTCGCTGGGTGTCAGGGCTGCTGCTGGGCCTGGACTGAGGTTCCTCCCAGGCCTCTGCTTATTCCCAGCCTGCCTGCCTGCCTGCCTGCCTGCCTGCCACAGACTACACAGACAGCTCCAGAGCCAGGAGAGGCCTGTGCACAGTCACAGGTGTTCTTTATTAAGCACTGCCTGTTTGCTAGCCTCTGTCACTTGCATCCTTCCTTGGTCTTATGAGAGTAGTATTTATCTACTTTGGAAAGAGACACTGGGGCTTTGGAAAGATGAACTAAGATGCTAAAATCAACCCTGGGTCAGAATGGATGAGCGCCCCCGGCCGCCACCACTTACTACCTGTGTATCCTTGGCCAGTCATACTGCCCCCTGAGTCTCCCCAGGCTCTCACCTTGTAGGGCTGCTGGACTTGGTGGTGGCAGCCAGCATCAGGTCTCAGGACCTCATTAGTAGATGATGACTGGAGTCATTACTTGATACCCCCTAGGTTGAGGGGTATCCATTCTAGGACCAATAAGGATGCTCCAGTCCTTGGCATACAGTGGCACAGTGTTTGTCCGTAGCCTATGGAGCCGTGGATGGGGACTCTCTATGGAATCCACAGATTCCAAGTGCTGACTGTAGTGTCTGTTATCCACATACTTTTTCAAGGAAAACCATTGAGGAAAAAAGAGAGAGAGAGAGATTTACTAGAAAGGCAAAATGAATGACAGAGGCAGAAACAAGGACAAGGATTTCTTCCATCTGCTGGTTCACTTCCCAAACAGTCTCAATGGCCAGGGCTGGGGCAGGCCAAGGCCAGGAGCCACAAAGTTACATCTAGGTCTCCCATGCAGTCATCAGGGATCCAACTGATTGGGCCACCTTTTCCCAGGTGTGTGAGCCCAGAGTTGCATGGGAAGCAGAGAGCTAGCACTTGAACTGGCACCCATGTGGGATGTTGTTACAAGTTGCAGCTTAATCTATGTCCCACAACCATGTTTACTGTTCACTCAGATATGTTTGATGGGTGTTGGGGAGGAGGTTAAATATTCATACATGCAAATGTGCTGGGTGATCATTAGCACTGTGGGGACCCCTTTAGGACCCATGAGCATGGAGGGCTGCCCAGACTCTTCTAATTCACCTCCTTTCACCCCCATGTGAACCTATAGGAGCAGGAAATGCTCTGCCTGCTAGGGACTGCAGTTCCTGGCACTCAGGAGCTGCTGGAAATTGACCACCTCTGCTTTCTGGGCTCTCTGATCTTTGCTTTCAGCCCACAATGGGATATCCCACAATGGGAGATCCCAGGGGCCAGAGGTCTGGGACTTGCTGGAATGTTTGTGGAAATGCAGAGCTGATAATCCCTGTATGGAGAGCTCTGGATAGAACAAGACCCAAGTCACAGGGAGACCATGGTGTGCAGCATCTTGGGTGCCACATCCAAGGCCATGGTGCTGCCTGGCTTCACATAGGCCTTCTGCAGCCCTAGGGGAGAAGCACCTGCTGGCCCATTTCATAGATACAGGGCTAGCATGTGTCTGGTCTACCTCCTGGGGGCCAGTGGTCCTAGCTGCAGCCATGAAGGCAGCAGTGCTGAGCCACTGTCCCTGCAGGTGCTTCTGGAAACACCTTCCCTGAAGTGTGCAAGTTTTGTAGTGGAGGCAGCTGGGAAGGGTGATCGCAGAGCAACCAGGACTGCTATCCTGTGTGGGGCTGGGGAGTCAAGCCTTGCAGGGAAGGACTGGGACTCAGACTCGGAGTCCACTTGTGCCTCCTGCCCCTCATCACAGTCAGACCGCGAGCCTCCCTCCTCTTTGAATGAGGACGAAGGCCTGCTGCCCAGTATGATTACATGGACGTGAATTTGTGTCCCTGGCCTGTGGTAACCATGGTCATCACTATCCTGTTTCCTGTCTGAATGCTCCTTTTGTAGCCAAACCCTCCAACCCTGAGGTGTCGGGGCCCACAGCCAGGGCAGCCCCTGAGCAGACCGTGAGCTTCACCTGCAAGTCCCATGGCTTCTCCCCCCGCAACATCAGCCTGAGATGGTTCAAGAACGGGAACGAGCTCTTGACCTTCAAGACCAGCGTGGAGCCTGCGGGAGAGAGCGTCTCCTACAACATCTCCAGCACCGTCCAGGTGGTCTTGAACCCTAGGGACGTGCGTTCACAGGTCATCTGTGAGGTGGCCCACGTCACGCTGCAGGGGGGCTCTCCTCTTCGTGGGACTGCCAACTTGTCTGACACCATCCGAGGTAGATACCATGCCCTTGCCCACATCTGGCCGATATGCCTGCTCCCTGCCAGCTTTGCCTGGAGCCTGAGTTCCTGCATCCAATTCCCAGCAGCCTGTCCACTGACCTTGCAGCTGAGGTGCTGGTCACTTCCTGTCCTCTTAGTGACAGCTGCCATTGAACACCTGCCATGTGCCAAGCACTATGCAGGTGACTCACTCATCCTACTGATAGCAGAGTGTTCTAGCAGAGCACCTGTGTGGGCCAAGCCCCTGTGCTTGGTGATGTCACTGCGAGGCTGTTCCACCTGGATCCAGGGTTTGGGTTTATTGAGTCACTTGGTGTCACCCTGATAGGAGCTCCCTGTCTCAGCTTTCTCCATGTGTAATGATGTCTCTCATGTGCCTAGTCCCTTCCTGTTTGAGTGCCTGCTGCATGCCTGGCCCTGTCCCAGGGGTGCCCTCACCCTGGCAGTAGGAGCCCAGTCATTCAGCCCCTCCTCTCCAGCATCTGCACGTGCTGTTTCAGTTCCCCCCAACATTGAGGTCACACAGCAGCCCGTGGGGGCAGGGACCCAGGTGAATGTCACCTGCCACGTGGACAAGTTCTACCCCAAGAGCATGCGGCTGACCTGGCTGGAGAATGGAAACGTGTCCCGGCCAGAGACATCCTGGACGGAGGTGGAGAACAAGGACGGGACCTACAACCGCACGAGCTGGCTCCTGGTGAACAACTCCGTCCACAGGGAGGACATGGTGATTTCCTGCCAGGTGGAGCATGACGGGCAGCCAGCAGTCACCAGAAACCACAAACTGCAGGTCTCGGCCCAGCCCAAGGAGCCCGACTCAAACACCAACACCAGCAAGGGTGAGGCCACCCCTCCAGCTGGCCTGGTTCATCATCCCTTTTTTTTTTCATGTTGAAAGTAGTGATCATACATATTGTAGAATTATCTAGAAGTCTGTAAACATGAAGGAGAGTTTTTAAGTCAGCTACCCTCCACCAAATCCCTCTCTCCAAGGCTAGGCACTTGGGGTAGGTTGTGTTTGCCCTCTGGCATAAACAGGTGTGACAGTGCGGGTGGGGCATGTCCATCCCATTCTCAAAGTCCTCCCTCATGCCTTCTCCCCTAGCAGGTGCTCCTTCCTCTGTGTCTCCAGTGCACTCTAACCTCTAACCTCTCTCCTGTGTGCCCCTGCAAGGCTGTCCTGCTGGAAGGGAGAAGGGTGTTCTGGTTGCTTGTAGCCATGGGCATCGTGTGCCGTGGCCAGCAGCACTGTGGAACTCACTTCCTGGCCACAGGGCAAGCCTATTTCAAGCACATGCTTGCAGCTCCTCTCCCAGAGAGAAAGAGGGTGTTACAGTGTTGTGCCAGATTTTGAAATCCCCAGAAAATCATCAAGTCTGAAGTTGGTGCTAAGGCATAAAGGTGGTTTATTCAGGTTAGCCTAGGTCTCCCAGCCACCTCCCCCAGCCCAGCAGGGCTGGGCAGGGGAGGGGCAGCCACAGCTGAGGCTGCTGCAGGATCAGCAGGGAGGACACAAGGAGAGAGAGAGCCTGAGCCCCCAGTTGAACAGCCCAGCGTATTTATACATATTAGGCTATTAATTATACAGTCATGATTTAGCAGGCTTCTATTGGTGAGTTTGAAGCAAACAACTTTTAAAAAGTACAAATTGATGAGAGGTGGATCTTCTCAAACACCAGGTACCTTCTTCCTGAGGAGTGGTCTGCCTACATGACCTGCCAGGTGTCCTGCCGGGTGTCATGGGTGTCACGTAGACTATCAGGCCTGGAGTTCACAGCCCCAGCCAAGCCATTAAGGCAGGAATTACAAAAGGCAGAAAACATCTAGGTTCTTCAGTGTCATTTTATCAGTGCCCCTTCCTGCAACACCTGGGTTCTCCAAGAAGTTTGTGCCAAGTGGAATAAAAAGATGAGTTTCTTTGAGTGTCAGTCATGCTGAAATCCACACATACACAGGGTCTTCCAAAGATGCCGGAAATGTAGATCACGAAAAAGTTATGCCTGGATCTCAAACAGGCTTGGCTCTAATTCCATTTTCCCATGAACTGGTGCAGTAGCCTTGTATCGCTCCTCCTGGAAGTGAAGCAGGCAGTCAGATGCTCAATGCCACCATGCCATGGCACAACCTTGACAGTGGACTTGGAATGGAGACTATTTTCTACCTTAGTGCATCCTCGGTGTGCTGAAGCAGCCTTCTGGTGTCCCCTGGGCTGCAGAGGGAGATAGGACCCATAGGTGTTCATTTTGGCTGTGTGGCAGACTTGCTGTGTGTCCTTGAGAAAGTCAGTGCGTCTCTTTGGGTCCCTTCTGGCTCAGGGCGATGTTAAAGGAGGTAAGTTTGTGACCCTGTGGGCTCTAATTTCAGCTGGGAGAGGTCCTGCTTGTCCCCAGTTCAGCACTGTAGCTGGGGGCCCAGCATACAGTAGGCACAACATAAATACTTGCAGGAAGAGCGGAAGAAGTGATTAACTGGAGAACCCACCAAGCTATCCCAATTAGATATAGCATCCTTGGGGAGAAAGTAGCCAAAGATCACAGCAGTAGCTCAGGGCATTGCTTCAGGCTAGGGTCCTGTGCTCTCAGTGCAACCTCCTGTGCTGACTGCCAAACATGGTACATGTGGCCCTACACAGCGCATGGTCAGCCCCAAGGATGCGACAGGGTTCAATGGGCAGCCACTTGGTGCCACTCCCCTCCATCCCGGCCTCTACCACTCCAAACCCGGACACCTGCTGACTCAGAGTTTCAGGGGGCGCTCTGTGGTTTTCTCCAGGTGAGAAGGAACAGGTTTTGGTTCCTCAGGAAGCAGATCCCTGCCCACATCCTGTGCTGGGCTTCCTCCTGAGCCCTCAGCAGTGAACCTTTGCCCTGCAGCCCATCCAAGTAGGTCCCCTGCTGGGTGGGGCCTGCAGGCACGCAGCTGCAGACCCTGTATGCCTGTGCTTGGGTATGCAGCCCCAGCCAACAGGTGCTCACTGCTGCCTCCACTGCCTGCAAGGTGGTGGGTTACTGGGGTAGGGGTCTCAAATTCTCTGTTGTTGATGTACATGCCTGAGGTCTCTTCTCTGTGTGGTCTCCAGACCAACCTGACAGTTGGAGCATCTTCATTGTGGTGGGTGTCGTGTGTGCCTTGCTGGTGGTCCTGCTGATGGCGGCCCTCTACCTCCTCAGAATCAAACAGAAAAAAGGTGAGTGTTCCCCTCCTGTGCCCTAAGAGTTCCCCCACCCTTCCCTGTCCTGGGCTGTCCTGCTCAGAGGCAGTGGCCACAAGCTGCTAAGAGAATCAGTGACTTTCAGTAACAGAAAATCAGAAATAGCAATGCCAGGGCTGCTCTTGGCAGCCTTGCCATGTTGGTATCTGGATGAACCATCCCATCTCTGCCTCCTGGCTCCCATCCCAACCCCAAGTTGGGGAGCAGGGAGCAGCCCGGATAGCACCAGGGGACCTGGAGGTTCTTCCTACCCAGCTCAGGGGAAGCAGAGCTGTACCAGGAGCCAGCTGTACTTGGCTCTTCCGTGTGCAGTGGTCAGGGCTGGACCCTTGGCCTGGAGGCTGGGCAGGAGCAGGGCTGATGACACCGCCTCCTGCCAGGGTTGTTGGGAGGCCTCCCTGAGCATGAAACATTAGGAAGGCCTGGCACCTGACAAGTGCTTATGAATGTCCACTCCTTTGAACATTCTTTGTGAGCCCAGAAACATAACCCCGCCACCCCAAAAGCCTCTCATAGGAGCTAGGTGCATGGCCTTTGATTCCCCAGGAGGAAGTACCCGCCTTCAGCAAGAACAGCTTCCCCGTGTTTATGTGCATGTGTGTGAGCGTTTGCACGCATGCTTGAGTATGGAGTTGGTATGCAGGGTGGGGTGTTGGGGGTGGGAACAGTATCATGACAAGGGTTCTGATGTTGAAATTAGGCTACCCAGTCTTCCAGACCCCTGCATATCCTCCATACCATATATTCAGCCTCCACAAACCTCCATTTCATCATCTATAAAATGGATTAAGCAACAGGATCATTAGGAAATGCAAATAGGTGCTTGTGAAATGATGGTCTGACCCCTCCCAGGACCTCAGTCAGTGCACGTTCTCTTGCAGGAGGCAATTTTGCACCATGTGATAGAAATACATCTGAACCCAGCATGTACATACATGTGGGCGCACACACACACACACACACACACACACACACACACACACACACACACACCCTGTATGCAGTTGGAGCTGGTTCTTTCCTGTTCTCTTTGCTGTTGAAACTGTTGTAGTGATGCCTCCGTTCTGCGGCCTCCCCCCACTGCCCCAGGTCCCCTTCCCTGCTGAGCTGGCCAGCAGGACTCTGCCCTGAGAACATGGCTGAGTCCTTGCTTTCTGCCTGGGAGGCTGGAGTCAGGCCTGTTTTTTGCAGAAGGTTCCAGCTGTTCTGCCAGAGCTGCCCTAAAGTCCCTGCAGACACGCATGGGAGGGCACTCTGAGGATGCATTAGTGGTAGCACCATCATGAGACCCCAGCCATGCTTCCCAAAGTTCAGCCCCAGACCCATGCCAGGCTCCTGACACATGCCAGCTCGTTACTGAGGCTTTGGCATCAGCACCCCAGTGCTGAGCGTGAGTCTGTGCGCACAGCCCGGCTCTCACATGGGGACATGCAGTGACAGCCAGCACTCCCTCTTGCACACACTGCTTTTGATGCTTTGCCGTACTAACACCCCCGCCTGCCCCTGGAGGAGTGTACCTAATCCCAATTTATAGGCAAGAAGACTGAGGCTTGGGAAGGTTAGGAACTCACTCAACACCTCACAGCTGGTAAGTGGTGGGGCTGAAACTCCAACTCAGGGACCTCCTTCAGGACCCTTTGCACACTGCCTCCTTCCATTCTAATCAGACATCCCTGAATGGGGCTGCCCGACCATGTGATATGTCCTACCCAGGCTTCTCTGTAAGATGGGTTAAGCAACATCTGTCTTGGCACTAAGTCTCTGAGCCAAACCAATGCTTGCTAGTTTGGGAAACGGTGAGAGATACATTGATGGACACCCAGCCCAAGCCTGCAAGGTCTAGATGCTCAGAGAGGGGACACAACCCACCCTGGGTCACCCTGCAAGTGGGCCGATGGCAGGCCCAGGGTTCACAGCTGCTCCCCTGGAGGGAAGGGCCCCACCTGGGCCCTGCACTTGCAGCAAGGTATGCAGCTACATGAGAGGTGTGGGTACTGCAGGCCCATGAGTGACTCCTGGGAGTTGGGGAGCAGCAGGACCTGAAAGGCAAGAGAACCCCCTCCCCCCACTAAACTGGGTTCTGTCGGTCTGATTTCACCCATTCCTTTGCCCTCAGTAAGAATGTGAAGGCACAAGTATATTCCTGGGTAAGCAACTGACTCGTGTCTCTTCTCTTCCAGCCAAGGGCTCCACTTCTTCTACAAGGTAGGTGCTTTCCTCATCACTGTTGTCATCATCCCTTCCCCCAATGTGCTGCACATCAGTCAGTGCTCCTGCTTGTGTGTGTGGGCCCTCCTGTTGTGCCGAGTTCTTGGCAGGATGGCCCGGGGGAGCCCCTGGTCGCCTGGCGCGCTTCCTTGTGAGCTCAGCAATGGGGGTTGTGTCCCCCAGGGTCAGGGGGTTCCTGTGATCCATCCTGGGGCCCCTCAGGAGCCTCTGCACCTGTGCCCTACTATAACCCAGCCCTCTTGATGTCAGGGCCCATGTCCCTCACGCTTACAGCTAGCAGCAACATGGCACTGTGCCCAGAATGGTAAAGGCTGAATGAACAGATGTGTGAATGAAGGCACAAATACGACCCCTAACCACTGGAGCAACCACCTCTCCTCTGACTCCTGAAACTCCGTCATTGGCAAATGTCTTATTTTGTTCTGTGTTGGCTTTTTTTTTTTTTCTGTTGTCATCATAGATTTTTTTAAAGACTTATTTCCTTATTTGAAAGGCAAAGTTATACAGGAAGACAGAGTGAGATCCTCCATCTGCTGGTTCAATCCCCAGATGGTCGCATTGACCAGGGCTGGGCCAGACCTAATCCAGGAGTTTCTTCCTGGTCTCCCATGTGGGAGCAGGGCTGTCCTCTGTTGCTTTCCCAGGCACGTTATTATGGAGCTGAATTGGAAGTGGAGCAGCTGGGACCCAGACCAGTGTCTCTATGGGATGCCGGCGTTGCAGCCAGTGGCTTTACTTGCTATGCCCCAGCACCAATCCTGTGTTGCTTCTTATCTCTTATCCTGATTAACACAACAAGATATTTCCGGAGGGAGTGGGCAGCATCAGTAAATCATTCTGACAGCAGCCGTCATGGCGCTGTTGGTGGAGCGCCTGCATGTTCCCTGCCCTCCTTGTGCTTTCACTGTCAATTAGCGCCTGGGTGACTCGCATCCTTGCCAGGGCCCCTGTGTGCTGGCCCTGTTGTGTGGAGCGGGGCATCTCATGCTTGGGCATGCGCAGTAGATACTAGGTGGGTTGGGTCCGACCCAGGGTGCCAGGCCCCACCCTTGAAGCTCTGCTCACTCTGTGTTTGGGGCAAGTTTAAGAGCAGAGGCTTCGTGGCCAAACCGCAAACCTGGGCTCTTGCCTCACCGGTGGGTTACAGTCCCTGTGATGTGGTTGGGGATGTGAAGCCGCAGCCCCGGTCTCCGGTGATCTTGCCCCGGCTCCACAGCTCCTGCTACCTCTTCTGCTGCCATTTTCAGCCTGGGTTTTATTTTTCCAGAGTGATTTTGTCAAGGGAGCCATGGGAACGCTCGCTCTCTTTCATCTCTCAGCCTGCGTGCAAGTACGCAGGCCTGGTGGTTTCCCAGCCTCGGCATGAGCTCCCTGCGATCAGATGCTTTTCCAGAGGATGCTGGCCTGCGGGATAGGCACACACCCAGCAAGTGTGCAGGGCTGTGGGCAGAAGGGGCCGCTACTGGGAGCCCCCTGCAGGGGCTAGCGGTGGACCTGGCTGCTTATGACTTTCTGGGTGCCCAAGGTAAGGCAGTGTCTGGCCTGTTGGGGTCCGCCTAACTCCGATCGCTGCCTTATCCTGGACCTATTCAGCCATCCTACGCTTTCTTATCAGAGATTCGCTGCATTTATTCTTGGAGTATCCGGGGCTTCCCGGACTCTTTTTCTTACACATCTTGAGCCCAGCTGAGATCTATCAGCTCTCAAGCTCGCCGGGGGGGGGGGACAGGAGACATAATAGCCCTGGCCTCCTGGCTATTAGGGTCCAGTGGAAGATGTGGTTGCCCCTTCATTCCACAGAAGCTTATAGAGGTGTGCCAACTCCATGTCAGGTGTTGTGGCCTCAGTGGTCAGTGAGATGGGCCTTGTGCCTCCTCATGTGGAGCCCACGGGCCATGGGGAGACAGGTGACAGAAGAAACTTACAAGATCCAGAAGTGATGCGATGCAGTGACCGACAGAGCCACATAACAGGATGGAGCACAGCTGGGAAGCAGAGTGCAGCGAGCAATCCCAGAAGGCTTGCCTGAGGAAGAGGCACTTTAGAAGACAGCTGAAGGGAGGCCAGCCGCAGCTGCAGAGCTATCTGGGGCAGGAGCAGACAGAGGGAGGAGCCAGAGCCCAGCCCGAGGCAGGGACAGTTGGATGAGAACATGAAAAAGAGGAGGCTGGGGCAGCTGGAGCCCAGAGAGGGAGGGGGCAGCGACCTTGCCATGCCGGGCCTCACCTTCAGGATAGAGATGGAATCCGTGGCAGGCATGGTGAGAGAGCCGAGCTTTCTGAGTGAAAGATACTATAACACTACTCCCAAGGTGATGTTTGTGTTTCAAAGAGTTTTGTATTTATTTGAAAGTCACCACAGATGTGTTTTGGGGGGGGGGGCGGGTCTTCAAGTTGTTAATTTGCTGCCCAGGTGTCTGCAGCAGCCAGTTCTGGGCCAGACCACAGCCAGAAGCTTCATCCAGGTCTCCCACATGGGTGGCATGGGTCCAAGGACTTGGGCTATCCTCCACTTCTTTTCCAGGCCACTGATGGGACTTGGAATAGCCAGTCCATGAATTGATGCCCATATGGCACCACAGTCAGCAGGTCTATGCACTGTACCTCCATGCCAGCACCCACTGTTTCTACATTTTCAATGTGTGGTAGGGGTGAAGACAGAGTGGCCTAGAGGAACCTGGGGAGCCAGTAGGGTTGGGGTGACAGTGGCTGCTTGGTACTGTTTGGTGGATTTGCCATGAGTGCTGGAGGGTGAGGGGAGGAGCTTTGGGACACTCCTGCACTGGCCTCAGCATGGGAGAAGCAGCGGTGGTGACGCTGGCCGAGATGGAAATATGGGAGAAGGTGGATGTGGCAACGTGGGTAATGGGACAGTCAGAACTACAGTTGAAAGAGGATCTCGTATTCTGAGAACAGAACCCGGCCTCTTGGAGAAGCTTTTCCAGGAAATGATGGTTTACAATAGGAGCAGGGAGGGCCCGGCGCTGTGCTGTAGTGGGTAAAGACCTGCCTGCAATGCCGGCATCCCATGTAGACAGTGGTTTGTGTCCTGACGGCTCCATTTCCTATCCAGCACCCTGCTGATGGCCAGGGCCAAGCAGTAGAGGATGGTTTTAGACCCCTGCTGCCCACGTGGGAGACCTGGGTGAGGTCTTTGGCTCCTGGCTTCTGCCTGGCCTTGTGGCCTTGTGGCCATCTGGGGAGTGACCCAGGTAATCATTTCTATTTCTCCCTGCTTTACTGCAGCTCTGGTTTTCAGATTTTTAAAGAAGTCTTAAAAAAAAAGAGCTGAGGGAAGAGGAGAGGTAAAGCAGATGACCAGGCAGGGAGGGCTGAGGGTGTAAAGGCCCTGGGGCAGTCTGACCAGCATTCCTCCGAGTCCCCTCTCCCCATGGGTACAGCCTGGCAGACAGCCAGCTGCAGAAGCCACAGATGAAAATGTGCAAGGAGTTGTGAGATCATCAGGAAAAGTAGCCCATCCAGGCTGGCACCATCAGAGAAGCCTAACATTGTACTTGGATCTTGAAGGGTTATGCCAGGGTTTCTGGAGGGAAGATGGGACAGAGTCATCCAGGGCTGGTGTTGAAGCCTAAAGTGTGTTGCATTAAGACGCCCTCTGGGAATACCCGGTGGGTGGGTTAACTGGAGAAGGTCACAAGCTAAACCACCCAGGCCTTCAGAGCAGGGAGATGAGTTGGACTTAAGGCAGATAGGCTGTGGGGAGCCCCTGGCAGGACTGTGGAATCTCCGCCCAGAACCATCCTCATGCCTGGAGAGCTCTTGCTGTGGCCACGGTGGCCGAGAAGAGGCATGTCCACATGGCAGGTCTCTGAGCCAAGCCTGGTGCCAAGTCCATTAGTAACCCTGCGCCAAGCCCCACTGCTCACTCCTGACCTAAGTCAGGCTTGCATCCTGAGGTGCTCACTGGAGACTCTCTGTGACCCCTGTCCAGCTGCTTATCACCCTGACCATGAGCCTTTCTAAGCCCAGCCATTACCCCTGAGCACAGAACCAGGTACATGAATGGCTTCTTTGATTAAACAGGACACCTTGGCTTTGCTCCTTTATTATGATTATGATTATTATAATGATTTTGTTATGATTTATTTGGAAAGCAGAGGGATAGAGAGGTTTTCCATCTGCCGGTCCCAGGCACAGGAGCTAGGTCAGAAACAGAGCAGCTAGGACTGGGACCAGCGTTTCATGTGGGAGTGCCAGTGTCTCAGATGGCAGCATTACCAGCTGAGCCACGGTGCTGGTCCCATGTTCTTCCTTGTAGTAGCAGTAGCACATAGATGTTTATAATATAGAACATTTGGAGAATATGAGAAACCAAAATGAAGAAAATACCCACGAAGATCGTGATTGTTGTTAGCATCTTGCTGTTTCCTGCTGGCGTTATCCACACATCTTTCATAATTGAAATCACCTACAGAGAATGCCGCTTTTCCCACTTATCATTTTTAATGTAATCATTTTGCAAGTTTTTAAAATCTCATACATTTTTAAAAATCTTTATCTGCGGGCATATCCCAGTTTCCTAAGCCAACCCTAAGTGTCAGAGCCGGAAGATGTAGCCCTCCTTCCCTTCCCCATCCCTTCCCCTCTCCCCCTCGCTTCCCCAATAACAAGAATTTCAGTAGAGCAAGCTTTTGTCTCCTTCCAGTTCTGCCCAGTATTCTGCAATTACAAGTCAAGGACTCAAGACCCCTCTGAGTGCTTGACTTTGACCACTGCTTTCCCGAAGGCTTGCCCTGGCTGTGTCCCTGGCCAGCAGTGATCAAGTCTGTCAGTTAACTCTCGAAACCCCTACCCTCAGCTAAACTTGAGTCTGAGGTTTGGAAAGATGGTGTCCCTGCCAACCCAGCAGGTCAAGAAATAACCATCACCTTGTTTACAATCCCTCTGTAGCAACAGCCACCTCCTTGTTCAAACAGTTTGCTTGCGTTTCTGTTAGGAGGCATTCAGCCCTGTCCTCCCCAGCGCTAGGAAGTGAAGCCTAAATGTTATTCTTATCAATTTGCATGAGCACTCGAGATAGTGAGGGTATTTTTATCTGCATGTCTCTTTCCTTTTTAGGTTGCATGAGCCTGAGAAGAACGCCAGAGAAATAACCCAGGTACGGTCCTCTGTGAGACACCCCTCCTGGGGACAGCCCGGCGGCGTGATGTCCTGCTGTCAGCTGGAGCTGCAGATCGCCGTGCTAAATTAAGACTCAGTGCCCAGGGCGGGAGGGCGGCAACGGCGGAGGAGCCCTTAGATTCCTCCTTCCCCAGAAGTCCTCTGCCTGTCCCCACCCTCTGCTCCAGTCCCAGGGTGTCTGTGGCGGTGTCCTCTACTCCACGCTACCATTGCACAGCTATACGGGATGCTCTTCACATTCCCAGCCTGGCTCCTGGGAATGCTGTCTTCCCTGCCTCCAGGCGTCTGCCTGGGCTAGCCCCTCCGCCTACAGCCCCAGCCCATTCCCTCCCGTGGCCCTGCACCAACACAGAACAGCCCAGAACAACCTGGTGCCTTTGCTTTGACAGTCTGCACTGTGTCATTGGTGACCTCACACAAGGCCCCCCCCCCCCCCCCCGCCCTCGCAGAGTAGGTTTTCTCCTGCACTTGCAGGCAGTATGGACGGGCCTGCTTCACTGTCAGACCTCAGAAGCAGAGGGCTCGTGGTGTCAGGCCCTACTCTGAAGCCGGCAGCCGGAAAGCGACAGCTGTCCTTGACATGTTGCCCCCTCAGTTGTCCCTGTTTCTGCTGCTAATGGGCTGAAGGCACAGAGCTGGGGAGAGGTGTCTGGAGGCATTCATTGGGTTGTTCTGCTGTCCTTGGCTGCAGCAGCCCAGGGACATGGGGCCTCTAGTCAAGAGGGAGGTAGGCCTTCTTCCTGGTTATTTTGCCAGTGGTCTTCCTCCTGGAACCTTCTGGGGCAAAGGACGATGGTGAAAAGAGTTGTTCCCTGACATCTGCTGAACCCTGCTCATTGCCAGGACCTGGACAGCAAGCAGGAGAGGCACAACCCCATTTCTGGGGGCCTGGCGGCCTTCTGCCTGGTGTACCAGTGCCAGGCGCCAGTGCCCACCAGGTACCTGTGTCCTGTTCCTGGGGCTTCCTGCACAGGAGCTTGTGTGAGTGTGTGCAGACTGGAGACCGAGAAGTCATGCAGGAAGACCACCCGATAGACTTGGGGTGACATTGATCAAATCGAGTCCCTGCCCCAGGTCTCAGTGTCCTTACCTGTAAATTAACTTCTTCCAGGCAGGGCTATAGTGAGGCCCAAGTGAGGCATCCATGTGACACTGTGGCACTCACAAGCCCTGGGGACAGAGGTCGGCAGCTGCTAGCGTGTGACACCTCAAAGTTGCAAGCACGGCACCCATGCCAGGTGCAGGCGTTGAGCCGCACATGAGGGGCATACTTGGATTTGCTAAGTGGTCAGGGGTTGCTAATCCTTATGGAAAGCAGCACAGTCCATGCCAGGCTCTGTTTGCAGTGTTGGGCCTGGCTTAGCTCATTGGAGCCTCAGAGCAATACTGGCAGGAGACGCTGTCATTCTCCCCACTCTTGTGGCGGGGAGACTGAGGCCTGGAGATGTTACATGAATTGCCTAAAGCCTCTGCAAGAAAACAGGACAAGATTCAGGCCCAGAGTTCTGAGTCAAGAAGTGTCATCGTGATTGGCAGGCAGTGGTCTTGGTCTCTCATGGATGCCAGGGGAAGTGGGGACAGGACGCCTTCAACAGACAACAGGGACCCTGAGGGTGGGCCACGGGGAGACCGAGGCATGGCACCCCATTAATGGGGAAGCCCCTCTCTTTTCAGATCCAGGACACCAACGACATCAATGACATCACCTACGCAGACCTCAACCTGCCCAAGGGGAAGAAGACAGCTCCGAGGGCTGCCGAGCCCAACAACCACACAGAATATGCCAGCATTCAGACCGGCCCTCCGGTCACCTCGGAGGACACCCTCACTTATGCTGACCTGGACATGGTGCACCTCAACCGCACCCCAAAGCCGCCCGCCCCCAAGCCGGAGCAGTCCTTCTCTGAGTACGCCAGCGTCCAGGTGCAGAGGAAGTGAATGGGACTTCCGGCTGCTCTTGGGCCTGTCCCCAAGAGCTTTCCTGTCCTGCATGGAGCAGCCATGATGTGGACAGCCAGCCCAGGTTCCCGGAAGGCCGGGCGGTGGGGCTCTTCTGTCCCCAGCCCTTGTCTCTGCAGGGCAGCCATGGCCCTCATTCTTGCCACATACTGGAAACTGGAGTTGCTGAATTAGTCAATGAGATGGACCAAAGCTGGAGTTCTCCGTGCCTCTGTCCTCCAGAGCGTGAGTCTGAGTCATGGTTGTGGGGGCCCTGGACAGACCTGCATCTTACAAAACCTGATCTTCCAGGGGGCGGAAATTAACAGCCAGCTTCCCACCACCCTCCCCAGTGAGTGGCTCAGGGGAGATCTTTCCTTTTAGCTCTCTTGGCCCCACCCACAGAGAAGCTGAAACAAAACTGATACTTGGAGGGGGTTGCAACAGGCTTGCCCTCCCCCAGCGGATGAGCCACACGCCCTGGGGAAGAAGGGATCCCTCGAGGAACACCCCAGCTCCTCTCCCCCACCAAAGGACCTCAAGACAAAATCCCCTCTTGGGGGGCTCCTCCGCACTTCCCCAGGGACCCGCGGCCCCACCCTGCCTTTCTCAACCTGAGCTTGCTCGCTGCAGCTAGCACTAACTCAGCACCAACTCGCTGGGGACGCCTGTAAATTACTGAGAAATGTGAAACGTGCAATTTTGAACCTGAGCTGTTAGAAAACTTGATCTGTGCTGTTGCGTTTGGGTTTGGTTTTGTTTTTTTGTTTTTGTTTATTTCTTTCTTGAAGCTGGAGCAGCATTTTCCTTGCTCTTTGTCCTGTGTTAATGTTCATGGTCAGATCTTGTGCAGTCCGAGGTGTCGCCGTTTGTCATCCTAGAGGGATTTTTTTCTGACGGCAAAATCAGCAAAATCACAGCCTTCCAGAGCCCTGAGTAGCAGGAGGGAGTGCTTGTTTGGCCACTCTGTGGACTTGACCATGACCCCACCAAGCTGTGTGCTGCTGCTTTCCACAGCCCCATTGTGCTTAGTCCAACCAGTCCAGGGGGTCTCCAGGCCACCTCTCTGTCTTGGCCAGAGCTGTTGCCTCCGTCTGCTCATTTGTAAAGAGGGGAGGGGGCAGTGATGCCCTCCTAGCCATCCCTCACCTGCAGTGTTGGCCTACAGACTGCAGCACCCTCCCCTTCCAGCTCTGCAAATGGATTGCTAAAGGAAGAGCCTCCCATTTGGGCTCTCACACCCTGTCGGGATCACACTGCACCAGGTCCCGGGTACCACCAGGGCTGTGCTGCTGAGAGCTAGGGCCAGTCTACTTTCCGTCCCTGTCTCAGGAGGTTGGGCAGAAGCTGCCACCTTCTTACCTTCTGGCCCTGTGTGTTGGGTGTGAGGCCTGGCTGGGCCTTAGGGCACGCAGTACTAGAGGCCCCTGTTTATTCTGTCTTGGGCACCAAGATTCACAGCCCCCCCATAGCACAATGCCCAAGAATTCCGTTCAGGCTGTCAGAGCAAGAAGCCAGCTTCTGCTCATGGCTACTCCAGCTCACAGGGGAGGCCTGGCAGGTCTCACCATGGCACCGCCGCAACAAGTTAACCCAGCCAGCCAGTCGGATGGGCAGCTTCCACTCACGCACGGAGGCCAGAGCTCAGTGGGAGCAAGTAGCCACAGGGACCCAGCCACCTGCTCAGGCCATGCCCAACATCATCTCCCTCCCTGCGGCTTTCTAGACAGCACATGCCTGTGCATGCGCACACGTGGGCGTATGATGTACACACAAAGGATTTTCCAGGAAGGTTTTCTTGGTGCCATTTTCATTTTGTTTTATTTTTCACTTTTAGAGGGGGGCGGGATGAAGGGAAGAAGACCAAGCAAGACAGAAAGCTTTCGCCTCCGCCCGACAGCCTGGGAGAGTCCCTGCACCTTGTGTATGGAAGCCCAGGAAGAGGAAGAGGTTGAAGGAACACTGCGGAAGGAGCGTGGTTTGGGGAGTTTATTTTAAGACCGCTGGAAGGAAACAGGCCCCGTTTTGTATATAGTTGCAACTTAAACTTTTTGGCTTGCAAAATATTTTTGTAATAAAGATTTCTGGGTAACAGGGACTCCCTCGGGTGTGCGTGTCCTTCTTGTTGTGTGTCTGTCCTGGGGGTTTCCAGGCTGGCTGTCCACTTCAGTCCCTCACAACAGCGGATGTGGCCCCAGGGCTGGGGATCCAGCTGATGGTCATGAAACGTCAGTTCCTCCAGCTCAGACAGCTGGCGCAAGCATGCAGGCAGTCACGTGTGGACCTGGCTCTGCCGCTCTGCGGCTGTGGGAGTGTAGACACCTCACTGCCCCCTCCTCTGCATGATGGGACAGCACCACACCCCTCCCAGTGCCATCACTGTAGGTTCTGAGCCCCAGGCTTGGCAGGTGGAAGGCCCTCAGCAAGCTGTAGGACTTGCTTCCTGCATGGATCCTCCACAGGCGACTCTGCCTGCCCCTCCCACCAGGTGCTCCTCCTCACCACACAATCTAGGTCAAGTGTGACTGACGCCAGGTGCTCAGTGGATGTTAGTGCCCTCTTCCCCTCACCCCCTGCCAAGAGCAGATTCACAGTGCTAATTACACCATCCTGTTCGTGTGTCCACAGCTCATTAACAGTATCTCGTGCTGACTGCGTGTCAGCACTTGACGTGGTCTGACTGTGTTTGGAACCTTAGAACTTGATGAGGTCAGTGATGTGTAACACGCAAGGCACAGAGAAGTGGTGCAACTTAATGCAGGGTCGCACAGCTGATGAGTGATAGTGATAAGACATGAAGTTGCTGTCTGACCTGGGTGCCTGATGTCCACCCGCAGAGCTAACGGTCCGTACACCATGAACTGACTACAACGTCAACGGCGAGAGCCAGGGCAAGGGATGTGCCACGTGCTCCAGAAACACTAACTTGTCCTACCACCACCACCACCATAAGTCAGAGCTCTGTGTGGCTTACAGGTGAGCACACGGACACTCGCCTGTAAGAAGCCATTCCCCAGGGTTCCATGGCAGAACCAGGCTTGGAAACTAGAGAGTTTGCCTGTCCCACCTTGTCATTCTTACTGCCTCGTTCACTTCTAACTACTGGAGGGCCATGGTTGTGCCAATTCTGCAGGGAAGGAAAGTCAAGGCGGGGGAAGCCTGGCCTCACCCAGTGTTATCTTGAATCAGGTTGGTTGGGTTCAGTTTAGACCCACAAGCCCAGGGAACTTGTCCTCGCCCTAGACCTTATCTGTGTAGTCAGAGGCTTCTAACTTTTGGAATTCGGGGAAGTCTCTCATCTTGCAGTCAGGACCTTGGTCGTGCCCAAGCACTCCACAGGTTCCCAGCCTTCAGCCTGAGAGTGTCGGGGTGTGGACGAGATGAGGGGTGCTTCTCTTATCCAACACTTGGGCTCCCTTCTCCACGGCCCAGACCTGCATGACTAAGAGGGCCAGGCAGCATTTGCCCTTGGTCAAGTTCCTCCTTAAAGTTTCCCTTATGCAAAGACAGCGAGCCTCAATGTCCTGCCCAGGGAGGGCACACGGAGGCCCGCCCACTTTCCCTGAGGGGCAGCGCCTACCAGCTTCCCATGCCCAGTTGTCACAGCCTGCGTCTTCTAACATAGTCCCAACATTTGGGCAGTGGACCAGTAGATACATCTCTCTCAATCTCTAGTTCTGTCTTTCAAAGAAATTAATCTTTAAAAAGAAAAGAAGATGCATGCCCCCCGAGGTTCAAAACCAGACAGAATCTGGTGTCACACATGCACAAGCTCCTCCCACTGCATACTGAGTATGTGTGCATTCTCTGGCCAGTGCAAAAGTCTGAGGACACAATGTTGACAGCAAAATGGGCCACACCCAAATGAGCTCATGGGGACAAGCAAGACTGAGGCAATGGCAGGCAGGGACAAGGACACAGGAGGAGCCCAAGGACTGCAAGGCGGCAGGACTGTGAGCTGGCTCCAGGACTAAGACAGCATTTATAGGATTTTGACAAAGGAAAACGAGAAGAGAATTTTTAGGTTAGACGTAAAACTGGCTCATGTTCTGCCAGACACTAAAACCATATCTTCTGAGTTCTCTCTACCAGAGAGAAATGGATTGCCCCTGTACTGGGCACAGAACTCTACACATTAGTATGCATAGCAACTGGCTTTGTGAAGCCGAGTCCCCAGCCCAAAAGCCAAGCCAGGCTCGGGGGTTTGCCCCAACAGAGAATGGATCTTTCAGCGATGTTTTAGACAACACCCCAGTACAGCAATGAGAGGCAAGACCTTTCTACTGAGTTGTCTGCAAGCTTCAGAAACTTTTTTCTTATGGGGGGCAAAGTGTCTATATGGGGCAAAGTTTCTTAATGGGAAAATCCCTCCACTGAGATTGAAGGGGTGCTGACAAATGAGTCAGAGAACAAAGGTATGAGGAATTGGCGCTTAGCAGAGACCTCCCATGTGTGAGTTGCAGGCCCAACTCACCCCTGCACCAGTGACTCAGGCTGCTGGCAGAGTGAAATGATGCCCCAGGGCCTTTGCACATCCCACTCCTGCTGCCTGGAAGGTCTGCTGAGTCCTTTCTTTTCCTTCATCAAAGAACCTGGCCATGGGGTGTCTCTCGCTCTCCTTCCTCTTTCGAGAGGCACCCAACATCCCGGCTTTCTCTCCAGAGGTGCTTTCCCCTTCCCTCTCCTTTCCCTGCTCACCTGGTTCCTTCGCAAATAAACTTTTCTGTCTGCAAATAAATAAATAAATGGCCTGGCCATGGCTGTTAGTTGAATGCTTCCATGCTGGTCATGGGCATTTGAGGAGTGAACCAGAGGTTGGAAGATCTCTTTTTCCCCCTGCATTTCAAGTAGATGAAGAAATAAACATTTAAAAGGTATATGTTAAAAAGCAGGACAGGAAGGATGATGGATGGGGTACGAAGGGGAAAAAAGGAGGATAAGAGACAAGAGGAAGAAGAAGAGTCGCCAGGATGTCATCTCCAGGGCACCCCAGGAGTTCCAGGAGCCTTGGCTGTCAGGTTTAGAGCTAGAGCCAGGCCCCGGGCCATCTGGCTTTTCTCACTGAGATTTCTGCCTTTGCTTGCAATCCTAAGGTTTACAGTGATCACTTGCTCCAACAGGTAAGGAGCCCACAAAACTGCCTGAGCCTGTGGCACTGCCTGAGCCTGTGGCATCGCCTTTAGAGAAACCAGGGCAGACAGAGCAGCACAAGGCAGCATCCATGACTGGCAAGCCTGGAGCAGTCTAACCTGCCAGCCCAGTGCTCCTGCCCCATGTCAAGGAAGACAAGCCAATTCCCCCAGCCCCCTGCCCCACCTGCCCCAGCCTCCTGCCATGGGCAGGAGGGTCAGCTGCCATCACAGCCCTGCCACATGCATGGGGCCAACAGCCTGGGTCAAGAATGAGGCTGGGTGAGAGCTTAATGGAGAGAAGGCTGCCAAAGCCTGACGGAGGCTGTGGGCCGGGTTGTGCCACGGCTCCCTGGGTGCCAGGCAATGGAGCCTGTGCCCATGCAGATTAACGCATTATCGCTAATATTATGTGCAGGATGCGAAGGCGCACGGGCAGCCAGGCCTAGAGCTGCCATTACCGCGGGACCTTTTGCTGGGGATTTTTTTCTTGGGGCAATTAAACCTTCAGCTGACTCCTAGCAGGGAGTGCCAGCTTGCATTTTAATTATCCTTAAAAGAGAGAAGTAGGGGAAAGGACACAGGCGAAGAATTAAAAAATAACAATCTGCTTTATAAACATGTCTACCCTCTTGTGGCTACTGGTGAGCACTCTCCCCTTCCAATCTCCCTCTCCAGCTCCACCTTGACCTTGGCCTTCAGACCTCCTGGGAGGAAGAGGTGGTGGAGGGAGCTTTGTTCTCCAGCCTGGCATGAGGGCTGGTGTGGGTAGCAGCAGTGCCCAGATTCTTCGAGCTGGAGACGATTTGCCTTGGAGCTCACAGAGGAGGACATGAGACAGAGAAAATATTTGGAATAATTTGAGTGATTGCAATCAACAGGAAGAGACGTCCGGCACACGCACAGCCTAAGGTGTCAGAGCCCCTTAGCAGTGGGACGTTCACCTGTCAGCCTGCTGACTCTGCTCCATGAGCTTCTGGAATCAGCTCACAGGTGCCCAGGGCAGGGCAATGGCGCTCACCAAAGGGTCAGAGGAAACTCCTGAGCAGATGGAAACGCTCTTTAAGAAAACGAAAGAGAGAGAGATGGACCTGGCACTGTGGCTAATTGTGTCCTTGGAAGTGCTGGGCTCCCATACATGTGCTGGTTCGTATCCTGGCTGCTCCACTTCCCATCCAACTTGTGGCCTGGGAAGGCAGTGGAGGACAGCCCAAAGCCTTGAGACCCTGCGTTTTCATGGGCGACCTGGAAGAAGCTCCCGGTTCCTGGCTCAGATCTACCTAACTCCAGCCACTGCAGCCATTTGAGGAGTGAACCAGCAGATGGAAGGTCTTCCTCTTGATCTTTCCTTCTCTCCATAAATTTGATCTGCCTTTCTTTCTTTCTTTTTTTTAATATTTATTTATTTTTAGTGGAAAGTCAGATATACAGAGAGGAAGATCTTTTGTCCAATGATTCACTCCCCAAGCAGCTGCAACGGCTGAGTCAATCCAAATCCAGGAGACCGGAGTTTCTTTTGGGTCTTCCACATGGGTGCAGGATCCCAAGGCTTTGGGCCTCAATTGCTTTCCCAGGCCACAAACAGGGCGCTGGATGGGAAGCAGGGCCTCCAGGATTAGAACTGGTGCCCATATGGGAACCCGGTGTATTCAAGCTGAGAACTTTAGCCACCAGGCTATCGTGCCGGGTCCCCGATCTGCCTTTCTAATAAAAATCAATATTTTCTTTAAATAAATAATAATGTACTGAGTTAATATTGATCTAGAACTTACCACATAGCAGTCCTTGTCATAACGTTTCCTGGGTCTTCAGTCCTTCTGCCCTCATGGACCCTGGGCCCTGAGAACACCCCATTTCCCAGATGGGGAAACTGAGGTACTGCAAAGTTCAGTAAGGTTTCAGGCACCGCAGAGAAACAGACACGTCCCAAGCCCTTTGCCAGTGGAACCATCAGAGAGGCAAATAGATG